CAGTCGCGTCGCATTTGGGTGCGTTAAGGGTTGGGTCGTGTGCGTTAAGGGTTGGGTCGTGTCTAGGGATGTGCATGGGTCGACTCGAACCGATTTTATTGAAAAACTGAACCAAATTGATTTAAATGCTTCGGTTCGAAAATGGTTCGGTTCGGTTAAGAAGTGGTATGGTTCGATTCGGAACCGGTTCAGTTCGACCGTGTTTCGAAAAGAAAAAAAATTAAAAATGAAAAATATAAAGTTATAAAAATCAATTTGGTTCGGTTAGAAAACGGTTCAGTTTTTAATGTGGTTCTAAAAACCGGTTCGGTTCATGAACTGGTTCTTTAAAAACCGATTCGGTTCATGAACTGGTTTTTAAAACCCGGTTATTTTAAGTGCAGTTCAGTTCGATTCATGGTTCGGTTCAGTTTTTTGATTATTTTGCACATCTCTAGTCGAGTCCAATTTATAATTTCTTGACGCGATCTTTTATTTAAAAACATCAAGTTTATTATTAATATTAACAATTTGACTATTAATTTTTTTTTCATTCGTCCAAAAAAATTGATCTATTCAAATTTTTTTGACAAATAAGGGGAAAAAAGAAGAAAAATTGCTAACTATATTATTATTTTTAAATTTGTAGGAAATTTAAAATATAATTTTTATTAATACAGTGATATTTTGAAATCTTTATAAATTTAAAACTCAACCCAATTGATTCCCGTTTCTGTAAATAAGGAAAGAAAAATAAAAATTTAAAATAAATAATAATACTATGATTATCAATAATAATTATGGTTATGATCTTGAAATTTCTATAAATTCAAAATATTAAAATTACTATAATAATGATAATATAATTATTGATTTTTTTTTCTTTCCATATTATCAATAATAGACAGGGTGACCCTTTGTCCCCATATTTATTTATTCTTTGTATGGAGCGACTTGGTCATCTCATTTCCCATGCAGTTAGGCAAAAGTGCTGGAAGCCGATCATGTTGAGGAGAAATGCTCCTCCCATTTCTCACCTCTTTTTTGCGGATGATCTTATTCTTTGTGCGGATGCATCCTTTGATCAGGCCCAAACCATTTCCAAGGTGCTAGATGATTTTTGTCTTTCTTCTGGGCAAAAGGTTAACCATGAAAAAACAAAAATTCTCTTCTCCCACAATGTGAATCATATTTTGGCAGAGGAACTTAGTGGTGAGTTGGGCTTCTCAAGGACGATGGATCTTGGAAAGTATTTGGGTATTCCTCTTCATCATCGCAGAGTTGGGAGGGCGGCTTTCAGTCATATCCTCGATCGAGTTCAATCTAGGATTAATGCCTGGAACCACACCAGTCTTTCTCTAGCAGGAAGAATTACACTTTCGAAAGCTGTTCTCTCAGCTATTCCAGCCTACACAATGCAAGTTTCTGTTGTTCCTCTCGGAATCTGCAATGATATTGAGAAACATATTAGGAGGTTTTTGTGGGGTTCTAATAGAGCATCTACTCGTCCTCATCTGGTTGCGTGGGATCAGTTGTGCATGGATAAAGATCATGGAGGGCTGGGTTTGAGGAAAATGAAGGAAGTTAATAGGGCTTTTATTATGAAAATTGGTTATGGGATCCTTTCTAATCTAGACGCGCTTTGGGCTAGAGTTTTAAAGAGCAAGTATAAAGTTCAGTCTGATTTGGTTCCTAATATTTCTGCTACTCGGAATAGCTCCTCTCTTTGGAAAGCAATTGTTTCGTCTTGGCCTGTGATATTACAGCATTCCAGAATTTTGCTAGGTAATGGAAATTCTACTCATTTTTGGGATGACCCGTGGGTTCCGGGTTGTGGTGCACTCTCATCCTATGCTGCTATTTCTGATCCCTCTCAGATAAATCATCAGCTAATGGTCTCTGATCTTGTCTCATCCTCCGGAAGTTGGATGTGGGGGGCTTTCCAGCATAGTCTTCCCGATCACGTCAATGCTCGTATTAATAACATCCTTCCTCCTTCGGATGTTAATGGTCATGACCGAATTTTGTGGACAAGGACATCTGATGGGAGTTTTTCGCTGAAGTCCGCTTATATGGCCATATCCAGGGGTAACGAGGAATCTACCAATTTACCTTGGAATCGCGTTTGGCAGTGGCATGGACCTGAACGGATTCGTACGTTCCTTTGGCTGTTGTTAGGAGATAAAATTTTGACAAATGAAAGGCGTTGCAGACGGCACATGGCGGGCTCAGATATATGTCATCTGTGCAATTGTTTTACAGAAACTTCCTTACATGCGGTTAGAGATTGTATTGCAGCAAAAAAAGTGTGGGAGATTGCAGTTAAGCGAGAGGCTTGGGAGGATTTTTTCTCTCTTAATCTTCAGCAATGGGTGTTGTCCAATATCTCTGAGGATCGTAATTGGTCCAATTTGCCATCATGGCCTCTTCTGTTTGGTATCATTTCCTGTTTCATTTGGCAAGCTAGGAATAAGAAAATTTTTCAGGGATCTTCTGTTCCTGCTTATGGCACTTTTAGAGCTGCTATGGTCTATGGTGAAGATTTTTCTTGGTCAGAAAACACGCTTCGGGTTGCTGGTCTTGAGACTAACTCGAATAAAGAGAAATTAGTTTCTTGGGTTTTTCCTTCGGACCCTTGGGTTAAGCTCAATGTGGATGGGTCAAGTATGAATAATGGAGAAGCTTCTGCTTGTGGGGGTGTATTTAGGAATGCTAGTGGAAGGTGGCTTGTTGGCTTTTGTAAAAATCTTGGCTGTGGTAATGTTTTGTTAGCAGAACTTTGGGGTTGTCTCCTTGGGCTTGAGATTGCATGGAGGAAAGGTTTCCGTTTTGTCTGGCTTGAAGGTGATTCCTTAGTAGCCCAGTTTTTCATAAGAGAAGGGTGCAACTCTCATCATCCAGCCTCCAACTTGGTCTTGCGCATAAGGAATATGCTGGATTGGAATTGGAGGGTTAGAATTTCCCATATTCATAGGGAAGGGAATGGGGTTGCCGATTGGATGGCCTCTTTTGCCTACTCCTTTGATTGGTCTTTACAAGAGTTTGACTCGCCTCCTTCTGGTTGTCGTGACAAACTTGAAAGGGACTATGTAGGAGTAGTTTGGTCGTGTTCCTAGTTTCTTTTTTTGTTTTTCTGTTTCCTGTTTGCTTTTCAAAAAATATTATGACTATTGATTTTTTTCCTTTTCTTGTTTTGTTAATTTCGTTAATTTAATGCTCTGTGTCTAGGTAACCAATGGAATCATGCCATATATAAAGTTTTACTTTAAAATGAGCCTATTTGATTAAGTTATTAATAATTATGGTTATGCAATGATATTTTGTAATTTCTATAAATTCAAAATACCAAATTTATTATAATAATGATAATATGATTTTTTTTTCCTTATTATCAATAATATGATTGTTGATTTTTTCGTTATTATCAATAATTTGATTATTAATTTTTTCCTTTTCTTATTTTGTCAATTTGATTAATTTAATGCTCCATGTATATCGAGTAATGAATAGAGTCACTACAACAAAACCGGTTTTTCACGTCGGTTTAATAATGATGGTTCAATTAAACCGCCTCGGATTGATCAATTAAACTCTGATTATACCAAATTGGACGTCATATTATGCAATAAATGTGTAATTATTTTTCAAAACTGTAATAAATACGTAATTAATTTATTAAAAAACATTCACTTAATTTTTTTGCCACCTCATTTGTTGAACAAGGGTTTTGATTTTTGATTTCTGATGATAGTTTTGTCTATCTGGGGTAAGACAACAATGAACAGATACTTTTGTTTTCCTTTCATCGTATTATATTGACCACAAAGAGTCTATTTAAAGGCAACCGTAAAATATATATATATAAATATATATATATATATATATATATATATATATATATATATATATATATATATAGTAATTTAGATGTAACTACAAGAATAATTTTATGTTGATAAATATAAAAACATATTACATGCTGATATAAAATACTGACAGTTAGAGATGAAAAACTGGGCAGGTCCGGAGGGCCAGCCCACATCATATTTTTATAATTAAATTAAAATTTTATCCTTTTTTTTTATAATTAAATTCATAAATCTGATTTTAATTTTTGTAAATATAAATTTGTAAAATTGCAAATACTAACAACATAAATCCTTGCAAAAAATATTTATTTATTATTATTTTTTAAATGTGATTGTAATAAATGAAAGTTCATATTTGAGACAAAATACTAAGGACACAAATCCTTGCAAAAAAATAATTATTTATTATTATTTTGTAAATCTGTTGTAATAAATGAAAGTCCATCTTTGAGACAAAATACTAAGGACACAAATCCTTGCAAAAAAATAATTATTCGTTATTATTTTATAAATTTGATTGTAATAAATGAATGTCCTCCTCTGAGATAAAATATAAAAACTTAGATGTAACTGTAAGAATTTTTTTAGGTGGATAAATATAAAACCGATTACATGCTGGTATGTAATCCTGACAATTAGAGGTTGCAAACTGGACTCGGTCCGGAGGACCGGCCCGCCAACATTTGTTTATAATTAAATTAAAATTTTGCCCTTCTTCTTTTATACTTAAATTCCTAATTCTGATTTTAATTTTTGTAAATACGAATTTGAAAAATTCCAAATACTAACGACACAAATCTTTGCAAAAAAATTTTATGCATTATTATTTTGTAAATTTGATCTTTTTAAATGAAAGTTCATCTCTGAAAAATACTGAAAGAAGCTGAGTCAAGCTTTGTAATTTTTGAATGACCACATGACAAGGTAAATATGTGTTGCGATAATTTTTACGAGACAAACAAACCGATTTTTTTTTGCTCGGGTAATACACTAGTAAGTGTATAAACTCAACACTACTTATGGAAATCTAACTATAACACAAGTGTCATTCATACACCAAAGTCAAACTTATTAAGTTCAAAAAAACAAAGCAGTAAAATCAGGAAGAAAATAAAAAGAAGATGCAATATTCATCTAGAAGTCTTACTCTGCTCATGGCATTGGAGGGGGCGACAAGGGCAGCACTAGTTGAAACGGGCTTACATGAGTTTTTTCATTTCCAGGGATGATATCAAATTGGTCAGTAAGTAGATCCACCGCAAAAGTGCCATCATCGTAAGAGTGCAGATATAAGATATTTTCATCATAGGGATGAAAACCTACTACCCGCTTATGAGAATTATTACAAAACTCTGCAGGGAGATGGAGATTTTCAGTAAGACTCTTTGTGTATTCCAAATTCCAACCATCAATCTCGGGGACTCTTCTCCAAACGCTAACATCGTCAGGGCCGATATCAGCTATTCTCAATCTCTCGCTGGAGATGCCAAGGAATCTAACTCTCATTATTCTCTCACGGTGAGGGTCAGGATACTGAATTGTACGACGATCGCGAGTATAGGGATCATACACAAAAATATAAGAACTACACATGAAATACAGACTTCCTTCGAAACTGAGGCTGTGAGTACCAAACCCAATACCCAATGGAAACCCATAGTAAAATACTTCCCATTGCCATGTCTCAGACGAAAAAACCAAAAAGGGAACATCAAACAGCCCCATTCGGAAGAATCCAATGAGAACCACCCGAAAGCTGCGTGTTTCACCACCGCGATGAACAAAGCCTACAGCATATGTACGATTGCTGCCTGAAAAAGAAGGTGGGGAAGGGATGTGAGTGCATTGCTTGGTGTGCGGGTCACAGAGGTAATAGCCACTCCCAAGATTGTATCCCTTGTCGCAGCATAGAAGCAAGTTACCAGAACTACCACATATATTTCTTTTGACCAATATGTCTGGATAAAGTAGATTCTGACTGTGCCTATCGAACTTAATCAAATAAGAGTTAGGAGATTCTCCGAGACCGTTAGGTAGGAAAGTCAACATGACCTCGTTCGGCATGAGAAATATAAAGAAGGCATTGAATTGAGCAAGCTGGGCACATAAAAAGACTATGTTGTAACGAGTACTTGAGATCAAAGCCAACCATTGATTGGAAACAACCTTGCACTGAACAGCATATCTGAACGGCAATGTGCTAAGGATTTTGTCTAACAATAAATCATTTGGTAGACAGTTGATATTGCTTGGCGCAGATGAATATTGAGGTGTATCCATAGACCTTGTTTTTCTGTAATAAAAAAAATAGCAACTCTGCAATAGAATAAAAGGCTTTTATTAGTTTCATATGGATTACTATACAAAGTACAAAAAAGAAGCAGTTATCGGTGATAGTGCAAAAAATACGAAACCGTAATAAAAGCATAAAGCAAAATCAGCACGACTATCGATACAAGTAAATAACAAGTTACAAATGGCAATTTATATGTAGGATAATGGCAACTGTAAAACATAACAGTGCTTGAAGTGAATCAAATATTTAGGCACGAGTCTCAGGACAACATTAGTATATACATATATATAAAAACTCGTCTATTGAAACCAATATATATTTTTTAAAAGAGAAATGTTTATTTTTTTAAAACAACTGTTTTCTTACATCATATACTACACTACGTATAAACGTCAGCTTATTACACACGCTCCACATTCCTAAATGCAACATGTCATGTAGTAAGAAGTAAATAAAAAATTAAAAATTGCGAAAGAGTGATAGCATACCAGTAAGATAGAGCGTTAGTACCTGTAAGTTTAACTTCTTATTTATAGAGTTTACATGAGGGTAGTAGATTCTGGACCTTTAGTGCCTCTTATGGTGGCCCAGACCCATCTATCATGTTGTCGTATTAAGATTGATATCCTTCATTAAGATTGAAAAAAATAAAATTAAATAAAATTAATTTTTTTGGGTTTTACGACGGAACAGAAATTCCGTCGAAGAATTTTGGAAAAAATAAAAAGAAAAAAATTAAATTTTGTGGGCTTTTCGACGGAATTTAAATTCCGTCGAAGATTTTTTACGGAAAAGGAATTTCGTCGATGATTTTTGAAAAAAATAAAAGGATAAGAAATTGAATTTTGTGGGCTTTACGACGGAATTTAGATTCCGTCGAAGATTTTCGACAGAAAAGAAATTCCGTCGAAGATTTTTGAAAAAAATAAAAGAAAAAGAAATTAAATTTTGTGGGCTTTTCGACGAAATTTAGATTCTGTCGAAGATTTTTGACGGTAAAGGAATTCCGTCGAATTTTTTTAAAAATAATTAAAAGAAAAAGAAATTATATGTTGTGGTCTTTTCGATGGAACTTTCGTTGGAAAAGCACACATATTGGGCGAAGAGATAATAGGTGGCATCATGGGTCAACTTGAAGATTTTCCATGATGTAAACTAATTAATTTTAATGTTAAATTAATAAAACTAATTTGAATTCTAATTTTGAATTGATTGACTAAAATTAAGGAAATCAATTAATTAAATTAATTAGCTTGAATTAGGGAAACAAATGAATTGGATTAATTGGATAAAATTAAGGAAATCAATCAATTAAATTAATTGGCTGAAATTCAAAAAATAAATCAATTACATTGATTGGATAAAATTAAGAAAACCTAATAGGTATATTAATTACTGTTATTTTCATTAACTGTTAAAAGACACCTCGTGATATAATTAATTTGACCAATAAACAAATTGATGTATCCTATTTAATGATATGGGCTTATGATATGGGCTTGACTCATCATATGAATGTTGGTTATTTGACTCTTTTGCCCCTTATTAATTAATTAATAACCATTTTGTCCCTTATTCAGAACTATCTATCAATCTGCCCCTCTTTAATCGATTAAGTTGAAGATTTAATTGATTAAATGGTCAAAATTGGAAAAAATGATTGATTTGAAGATTTAATCGATTAAATCTTCAAGTTAATCGATTAAATCTCCCTCTTAATTGATTTAATCGATTAAAATTTATATTTAATCGATTAAATATCCCAGATGAGCGTGAAATCATTGATACCAACTCGTAAAATGGCAACTCTTAATAAAACGCAATCAGCTCTTATTAAATACAAAACACAATCAACTCCTATTATTAATTACAAAACGCAATCAGCTCCTATTAAATACAAAACGCAATCAGCTCCTATTAAATCGCAACAGGGAATAAAGGTCAAATCTTCTCCATAAACAAAAGGAGTTGATTGGGAATCTTGAATTTAATGTAATACTTAGCAGAATCTTCAATCAGTTTTCCGTGTTTTGATGCTATTTGAATTTTGCATTTAATGTAATAGGAGCTGATCACGTTTTGTATTTGATAGATAGTTCTGAATAAGGGGCAAAATGGTTATTAATTAATTAATAAGGGGCAAAAGGGTCAAAAAGCCTATAAATGTTTCTATTTTTGATTTAATTTTTTATTTCTATTTAGTTTTCATTGAAGATATGACCTTATGATATGGGTTTAACACATGAATGATTTATAATATATTCTTTTACATAAGGATATCCATTCAAAGTAACCATAAATTTGATAGGCCTATATCATGTGAAATGAGTATCTTTCATTGGAAGATTAAATTGTTATTAGGGAATAATATTTCTGGTTTTATTAGAGAAGTTTTTTTTATCATACTCAAATAAAAATGAAAAGATCCCGTTTCTTTTCTATCATTTCCTTTCATATATCCGACTTACTTACTTTTATGTAAATATGGAAAAAAAAAATTATATACTAAAGACTATAATATTTTTCCCTTAACAATTATGCTTTAAAAGGATAGAAATAAATATTAGTTTTAGCAAAAGGAGTAATATATCCTTATTAAAAAAATTATATTTATGTAATTTTCGATGGAAAACAAATTGTGACGAAAATCTTATTAAAAAAATAAATTAAAAACGAAATTAAATAAATTAGTACAATTATTGATTTTAATTTTCAAAATATTAAATTTAGAATAATTTTCAAAATATTAAATTTAGAATAATATTAAAAATATATAAGTTTAGTAAAATTAATAAATTCTGGCGCTTGTTTCCCAAAAAAATTCCCGCCTCTCTTTTTGCAAAATTTTTATTTCCCCTCAATGCTAGTTAAAGAAGCAGCAAATGAAAGCGATTAAGGAATTTGGTGCAGTGCACAATATCAAGGGTGGACATGCCCGGAGGAGATTTCCTACTCAAGAAGTTTTAGGCCTAAAGCCCTCTGTGAAGCGACTTCTGATGTACCAGCAAGGTTGTTTCGCCGGTGGCACCGTCCTCCGCCTCGTCGGTTATAATCGAAGCAGATCCAACTTGAGGCAACATGGGGCCACTTGTTCTGACGGAATCGGAGCTGGGACTGTCGCCGTCGGAGGTTGCTGCAGCCATGGTGACGAAGCTTATGGTGGACGAGGGCGAGAACTCTACTATGGGAGGGTGAAGCTTGGACGAACTTAGCGTGGAAATGGCTAGAAACAGGAAATGGATAGAATTTCTTCACAATAGGGATACTACTTTAAAATCACCCCTGGTATGTAATACTTGTAAAACCCCCCTGGAAAACATTGTACTACTTTAAAATCAAACTGTGAGGGAGTTTAATAATAGGGATACTTGAACTTCGTCCTGTATTCGAAAAGAGGAAAATGTTGCTCTGCTTTTTCTTTTTAAAATTTGCTAACTGATTTACGTGTAGGGCTGTGCAAAAAAAACTGGTTCACTTGCCCTGCCCTTGATCCGACCTTGACATGACTCATAAATACCCATATTTTTTGAACTGGTTTAAATACTGACCCACTTTTATTTGGGTCAGTTTTAGACCTGACTCGTTTTAATATTGACCCACTGACCCAAAACTTGACCCATACTTATTATGTTAAAAAAAAATCACAATTACATTAAAAGAAAAGTTTTAAAGTAAAACAATTACGTCAAAATTTTTTATGGAAAATATTTTCATAAAAATTTACAGATTTCAAATTTCTGCGAAAGTTTTCAACGGAAATATTTTCGTCATCAAAAAATTTTAACGGCAAAAAATTTCATCAAAATTCTTTACAGATTTCAAATTTTGGCGAAAGTTTTCGACAGAAACATTTTCGTCATCAAAAAAATTTGACGGCAAAAAATATCGACGGCAAAAAATCTCATCAAAATTCTTTACAGATTTCAAATTTTGGCGAAAGTTTTCGACGGAAATATTTTCGTCATCAAAATATTTTGACGGCAAAAAATTTCATCAAAATTCTTTACAGATTTCAAATTTTGGCGAAAGTTTTCGACGAAAACATTTTCGTCATCAAAAAATTTTAACGGCAAAAAATATCGACGGCAAAAAATTTCATCAAAATTCTTTATAGATTTCAAATTTCGGCGAAAGTTTTCGACAGAAATATTTTCGTCATCAAAAAAATTTGACGGCAAAAAATTTCATCAAAATTCTTTACAGATTTCTAATTTTGGGGAAAGTTTTCGACGGAAACATTTTCGTCATCAAAAAATTTTGACGGCAAAAATATTCATCAAAATTCTTTACAGATTTCAAATTTCGGCGAAAGTTTTTGACGAAAAAATTTTCGTTAAATTTTTTGACAAAAAAAAATTTTCGTTGAAATTTTTAGCGAAACACATTTCCATCGAAAATTTTCAACTAAATATTTTCGTCAAGTTTTTTGATAAAAAATTTCCATCAAAATTTTCAACGAAACACATTTCTATAAAAAAAATTCCGTAAATTTTTTTGACAAAAAAAACATTTTGACGAAAAAAATATTCTGTCAAAATTCTTTAGAGAATCTAAATTTCGTCGAAAGTTTCAAATGAAACATTTCCCTCGAAATAATTTTCGTCTAAATTTTCGTTAGAACACATTCCCATCGAAATTTTGAACGAAAAACATTCCGTTAAATTTTTTGACAAAATTCTTTTTTCGTTTAAAACATTTGATGGAAGAAATCATTTTCGTCAAAACTGTTGACGGAAACTAAATTTCAATAGAATTTTTTTTTTTTGTAAAAATTTCGACGAAAAAATAATTTTGTGACGAAATTTTCGTCTTTTGCAACGTAAAAATTTTGACAAAATTTTGTGAGAAAACCAAGTCAAAAACGGGTCAGGTCAGATTTGACCCAGTTCAGAAACCAAGTCAGACCCACTTCAGAAACCAAGTCAGGTCAGATCCAAACTGGTTCTGAACTAGTTCAACAAAATCCAATCCAAGTCAGACCTGACTTGGATCAAATTAAAGCGGGGCGGGTCAAAATACCTGACCTATAAAAACCAAGTTGGGTCGAGTCGGACAAAAACCTGACCCGACCTGACCCATGCACAGCCCTATTTACCTGCATGGGTGCTTATTGAACTGTGTCCTGTATTTTAAAAGGGGAAAACGAGGAGCCAAATATATATAATGTATCACTTCTCTTATAGTTGCAACTTATAACGATATTTATATATTAGATTCAATCATGCTACGTTTTGACCTATTGTTATTTGTTCCTGTTTAAATATATATTACTCGCAGTTTTTGCTTGTGGTATGCCATGCAACATGCCAGTTCTCCTGATAGCTATGTCCAAGCAAAGGTTTCTTCAGTGGCTACTCAGTTGATGAAAAGGGGTTGGTAAGTAGCGCATTCTGTTTTCGTTTTATTAGAAACTTGACCGAATAAGTGACTTGCATGTACAACCTTGTCTCTTCTCTTCTATAATGGAACACTAGATTCTTTTTGTCACAAACTTTTGGAGATAATGCAGGAATATCAAATTCCCATTGAATTGAAATAATTTTCTTTATGGGCTGGATGCTGTATACTGTCTTAGAACTTGAGTAACCAGAGCGTGGTGTGGGAGTGAGTTCATATGTTGGTAAAATTTCATCAAATTGTAAAAGTCTTACAGTGCAGATGCAACTGTAGTGCATCTATTTAAATTATTTCAAAACTGTATAATTTCAAAGACCGTTATTGAAATTCTAAATATATTCACTCCTAAGAAATTATAAAAGTACTATAGAAATAAAATACGAAGATTACATAGTTATTTTTCAATATAATAAAAGTAAACCTTTGTTCACATTAAGGAAAGAAACCGTAAAAAGGTATATATTAGACTGAGGACATGTAAATCTCATCAGCTCTAAGTGACTTAGAACAAGAATAGTCAGATCATGTCAGCTGTTAACAGATGGACTGGGGCACTAGCTTAGAACTAGAAACTTGATATCTCATTTTTACCTTAAAAAGATTAAATTTTCATAACGGACATCATCAATTTTTCTTAATTCTATTTGGAAATATAATATTACATTGTTTATATTACATCCTGTAGAGATTGCGCATAATGATTACTTGATAGGGAAACTGTGAGAAAATTAACAAAGATAGTTGAGCTTCCAATGGTTCATCGTTACTCTCTTATTCATTTCAGTGAAGGATGATTTGTCACCTTGTTATGTTTGAGTTCCTAATTATATTACTTTGTACAAATAGTTGTATTTGAATTTGTGCAAACCAAACTGGTATCGAGTTATACTGGTTTAAATTCTGGTCGTATTCCCTAGCAAAATACGTGAAGTTAGCTCAAATTAAAAGTAAAGCATATAAATTTTCAGATGGATTGAGATCTGATCCTCTGCTGCTGTACTTTTTTCTTGCCTCCAATGAAATTTCTTCATTTTTTTTTTGGAGAGGGAAAGATAAAGATTTTATTCTCAAGGCATATACTTTGCTTAACAAAATGAAGGTGTGGTGAATTCTTTTGTCAGTGTGAGAAGGCCGACCTGGTTTTATAAAGTGAAGAAGCTACTTAGCGTTCTCCAAATATGTGAATTGTGGTGTCCTTTACTTGTTTATCAACTAACCATGGCTCCCATAAGATATGTGTCTGTCTGCTAGAGGGAGACCTGTCTATATATATGCCTGCATTCCTTTACAAAAAATAGCACCTATAATTAAAGTATGGATGGTGCTTAAAATGAAATGCAATAGGTGCAAGAACCTTAAACTTTCTTCATCATCACAGCCCCATCTTTTGAATACACAATTAGGCTGTAAACTAATAGACTGATCATGAAACTTCATGCATTTGTTGACAAGAAAATCTGCATTTTGAAGTAATCATATGTTTCCATAAGTCAGAAAATCAACTGGTTGAGCACTAGCTACTTGTATCTCCTCCTTGGAGGTCTCATGTTCAATCCCATTGGAAGCAACTTGCTCAGAAGGCTCCAATAAAAAGGGTAGCCCAGTGCAATCAAAAGGTGACATTAATTTTATTTAATTATTTAGCAAAAGCTTGAGTTTGATAGGTATTGACAGAATGCTGGAACATCTTTTCATTCTTGTTTTTTTTGAGGTACAGTGGCGCCTCTGTGAGATTGGACTTGAGGATTACTCATTTGTTCTTTTAAGCAGGTTCTTAGCACACCTTTTCCTACCTTACCCTTTGAATAATTGTCAGATACTCAGATGTTGAATGACACTTGTGAAATATATGAAGGGCACGTGATGTGCAAAAGGCATGGACTACTTGTTAGCTACTGAGACAATACTATATGCCATTAGAATATAATGCTTATTTACTCTAATTATATGCTCATAGATGGTTTATTATACCTTAAATAAATTTAAAGAACTATATCAACTATCTTATACTTTAGAAGGGAAAAGTGTTAAAGCACATAGTTATCAATATTGTTAAACTTTCATAAGAAAATATGATTCTTATATTCTTTTTTGCTCTATATATTTCTCAGATACGTGGCTCTGAATATGCAAATACTGGCCTTATATATAGATAGATAGGTGACTTTTTTGCTCTAAATATAGATTGCCTTTTATTAATGATTTAAGAATATAGAGTTAAATGATAGTTTAAATGTTATTTCTTTTATTATTTTTTCTCTTTTATTTTTTGTACTAACAGTCTAATGGAGTAATAGGACAGCCAGATAGAGTATTTCAGTACCCCCATTAACTATTTTTGGTTGGTTGTATAACTTCAGATTATATATTATGTTAGATTTGTTGTGCTTTTCCAATTATTTGTGTTTTAAATATTTTACATGCCTACAGGTACAGTTGCACAACAAGAGGAAAGGGCTGCACAACAATAGAAGAGGGCTCCACAACAACAGCAAAACATGATATTTGTATCTTGTTTGGATGTATATGACATGGACATAGACTTTTTTCATTAGTATATAACAGGGACTTTTGTATAGATAATTATATTAAGATCAATATGAATTTGATATATTTTTTACTTTCTTTATATTTGTTAACCAGTTGCAAAAGATAAATAGATATTAATTTTGACAAAAAAGTAATTTCGTTGAAAATTAAGGCAATAGTTTTTGACAAAATTTAATTCATCTTTTGTAAAAAATGATTACAAATTTTTTTGACGAAATTTTCTTCATTTTCTGTCGAAAAATTTCGACAGAATTTGTTTTTCATCGAAAACTAATACAAGATTTTTCGACCGAATTTCATTTATTTTTCGTGGAAAATTTTCGACCGAATCCATTTTCCGTCGAAAACCATTACAACAATTTTCGACGAAATTTCATTGATTTTTCGTCGAAATTTTTTGACGGAATCAGTTTTCCGTCGAAAACCATTACAACAATTTTCGACGGAATTTCTTTGATTTTTCGTCGAAATTTTTTGACGGAATCAGTTTTGCGTCACAAATTGTGACAAGATTTTTCGACGGAATTTCATTCATTTTTCGTCAAAAATTTTCGACGGAAATATTTTTCCGTCGAAACTTCCCACAGAAATTATTCCGTCAAAATTTGTGTCGAAATTTTTCGACAGAATCTGTAATTTCGTCGAAAAAATTGTTACCCACGAAGATATATTCGACGGCTTCATTTCCGTCGAAAATTCCGTCGAAAACATCATTTTCGACGAAATTTTAACGATTTTCGACGGAATTTTTCCGTCGAAAAAAAAAACATTTTCTAGTAGTGGCAATGAATTTGCAAGAAACTGATGTGAAATTCGGTGTGAAATTCCATGTGTTAGGGGACACGCTCAATCTTTTATTTTCTTTTATATCCACTTGTATCATTTAGTGGATATATACTGGACCTTGACAAGAATAAAAAATTCTTAAAACCGGTTCGGAAATGGTTCAAAACCGGTTCTGGTTCGAAACCGGTTTGAAACTAGTTCATAACTGGTTCGGGACCGATTCGAACCAGTTATAACCCGAATCGAACCAGTTCTTTTTTTTTAACAGAATGCGGTTCAGAGAACCGAATCGATTCAAAACCGGTTCGGTTTGGTTCTTCAAGAAAAGCGGTTTGGGTCGACCCATGCCCATCTCTACTGGGCTTGGCCTACAAATAATGCTTTTAATAGGCCAATAGGTCAGATAGGCTGAATTTTTTTTTTACGTAGGCTTGGGCCAGGAAGGCCAAAGCCCAACCCAGCCCATTTACACCCTTAATTGCAGTGTTTTCTTCTTCATTTGGCAGGTTGAGTGCTCGAAATTGGGTTCTGCCATGGAAGCTTCATCAAAACTAAAAAAACATATTTTTGAGCGATTTTCATCACAAAACAACCCAGAAACAACAAACCAACGAGATTTTAATATAATCTATCTCAAAAATAACATATTTTTGAGAAATTTTGGAAGTTTAAAAAGTTATTTTTCAAGCAATGAATCGCGGTTTTTCTTGGCACAAAAACGTGTGATTTTGTATTAAAAATAACATAAAACAGTGAAAAAATAACAGGGGAACTATAACCCTCAAACCACCAATTTTCGTTTTACATTAATGAAACAATATCAATTTAAAGAAAGATTGAAACTTTCATAATATGAACCCTATATTTCGTAACAATATATTCATGAACGAAATTTCTTCACTATAGGAAACGATTTCAAACAATTTTTTTGTCAATAGATAGTTAAAAACTTGTTTATCAAAAGCCCCAAAGCAATTTAAGGTTTCAATGTATCGACTGAAAAAAATTTAAGAAATTTTCTAAACTTTCATGTAATTAAACCCAAAATTTCAGATTTAAAATTTTCTTAGAATATTCAATGAAAATATGCATATGATATATGGTTAGAAAACTTCCATCACGTAAAACAAAAATCCCAATGTTTTCAAGATCAATTGCAAAAAATTTTGAATGAAATTTTATCATGAATTTTAGGTTCTATATGCAAATTTATAATTATTTTTATAATTAAAAAAAATTGGGTCTTATAATCATATATGCATACATGAAGAAGATAATTTTTAACCTATTAGATATGTGAAAAGCTGTTGTTTAGTAATTTTGAATGTTTGTTAAAAATTATATTATGTTTTACTGGTTGAGAAAATTATATTAAGTTTTACTTTTTTTTATTAATTTCATTACATTTATTTGTTATTTTTTTATGGGAAATATTATACTTACAACCTATTTTTGTTTACAACTATATCTTAACCGTTGATTTTCGTCAATCAATGGTTCTTATTTTTGCAAATCAAACTCATTAATTAATATTTAATTTGGAAGTTAACCGTTGATATATGGCTATTATTTTCGCAAATCAAACTCAAACTTATTAAGAAAATTATATTAGATTTTATTGATATGTGAAGAGTTGTTACTTAGTAATTTTTGAGATAATTTTCAACCCGTTGTTAAGTATACTTTTTTATATTAATATCATTGCATTTCTTTGTTATTTGTTTTTATTGACTCTTGTAATTTTGAATATTTGTTAAAAATTCATATAATTTTTTAAAATATCATAAATTGAAATTATCCTTTCAAATCTTATGAATTTTATTAAAATCTTTTAAAATCCAATCTCACGGAATGGTAAAATAAGTCTTTTAAAAAAGTCTATAAACTCTCTTTAATTTTAAAATATCTTTTAAAATCTGTAAAAAAATTTATTTTAATTTTTTTTTTTTTAAATCTTAATCCAATATTCCTCTAACCAGTATAGCCCACTGGCCACCAGTATAGCCCATTTACATCCTTACAAATATTCACCATGGGAATGAAAGGCTTCACGGCCACCTACTAGCACTTTCTGCGTTACACACCTACGGTTAGGGTTTTTACTTTACGCTGCTCTCACAACACAACACAACACAACACAGACACAGGTACTTACACTCCAACGCAATTCACCTCTCTCTCTCTCTCTCTCTCTCTCTCTCTCTCTCTCTACTTTGTAATTGGGATTTTTAGGTTTTTGCTTTGCGCTTTTGCAGCATCCATGGTAAAAGCCTCTGCTGGAACCGTCAATCCACACGGCAGGACTGGAGTTCGTATTGTTGTGGCCGGAGACCATGGCACCGGAAAATCAAGCCTCATTATTACAGCTGCCGCCGATAACTTCCCGGTGAACGTGCCACCGGTGTTGCCTCCCACGAGGCTTCCTGAAGATCTGTATCCGGATCGCGTGCCTATCACAATTATTGACACCTCTTCCCGGTAACGTTCTTATCTTTTGGAGGCATTCATAACTAAAGTAACACCCCGTTTCGAAAGTGACAGTAATGGCTTTTCCTTCTCAAGATTCACAGGCCTTAAAAATAGATAATAAAACTAGAATGTTTTGAGTAGCAGTACCTGTTGTTGTTGTGATTCGGCGTTTTTTTTTTTAAAAAAAAACTAGATATACAACATCTTCTGCTGTTTCGGAGTTGATGTTGCGTTTTGGAGCTAGATTTAGCCTTATCTTGTACCTGAATGTTCTCCATTTGAAACCGGTTTGGCTGTTTGTTTTCTGAGCTCTTTGCTGATCGAGGTCATGGAATTATGTTAAGTTGTTTGACAATATGTTTATCGTGTCCTATTCGCCAAATAAGAAATTTAAAGTATAATTTAAGACACTCTGCAATCTCTTAGAAAAATGCTATTTCCTGCTTATAGCTTTATCTATTGTTAGGGCAATGTTTATCCTGGAATCTGAATGTCTTCACCAGTTTGCTTTATTATTATTATTATTATTGCAGTCCTGAGGATAGTGTTAAAGTTGCTGAAGAATTGCAGCGGGCTGACACAGTTGTCCTCACTTATGCATGTGATCGGCCTGAGACACTTGAAAATCTGAGTATATTTTGGCTCCCGCATCTTCGTAAATTAGAGGTTCTGATCTTATATTATTATTATTATTACTTTGCCTCTCCAAGGACTATATGTTCAATTACAGCTCCTTTTATCTTTTAAAAGTGAAGAGAAAAAAAAAAGGAGGGAGAGAATAAATATTTCTCAAGAATGGAAAGGGAGGTCCTAAATAGATTATTGTAAATTGCTAAACGCCTAAACCAGTTCTGCTCTTCTTTCTTGTAAAAACATCTGCTATGTGCACATGCTTGCTTACTGTTCATCATACAGCCTAATTAGATTCGCACAAATATTTGTTCTTTTTGTTTTGAGAGTATATATGCATGATATAGATATTTTAATTTAATGAACAGGTAAAAGTTCCAGTTATAGTGGTTGGCTGTAAGCTCGATTTGAGAGATGAAAATCAGCAGGTGAGCCTAGAACAGGTGATGTCCCCAATAATGCAACAGTTCCGAGAGATTGAAACTTGCATTGAGTGTTCAGCGTCTAGGCATATCCAGGTATATTTTATTCATACCATTGCAATCAAACTCCTTGTTTTGACATCTGATTTTAAAGGTGCTGATCAATTATATCTGGATTTTGGTTCATATAATTGTAATGAAATTTTCTTATTGAAGGTCCCTGAAGTTTTCTACTATGCACAAAAGGCTGTTCTTCATCCAACGGCTCCCTTATTTGATCAGGAGTCACAAACTCTAAAGCCTCGATGTGTGCGGGCCTTGAAGCGGATTTTTATCCTCTGTGATCATGACAGAGATGGTGCCCTGAGTGATGCTGAGCTGAATGATTTTCAGGTTGTATTCTCCCCTTTTAAGAAGAATATATTAAATCTCAAAATTGAGGCCTATTTATTATCCGATTACTATAGTCTGGCACCTTAGAGCTTGATTATAAACTTGTTTCTAATTTCTATTATGTTACGATGGTAAGGTGATTATTGCATATGATTTGTGAAAAATATAACAAAACTATCGACAGGTTAAATGTTTCAATGCTCCTTTGCAACCATCTGAAATTGTGGGTGTAAAGAAGGTTGTACAAGAAAAATTGCCTAAAGGTGTGAATGAACGTGGACTTACTTTGACAGGATTTCTTTTTCTTCATGCCCTTTTCATAGAAAAAGGGCGTCTTGAGACAACATGGACTGTGCTCAGGAAGTTTGGATACAATGATGATATCAAGCTTGCTGATGATCTGATTCCGCCTTTGAAACGTGCTCCTGATCAGGTATTTCTTTTGAGATGAATTGTGTCCTCATGTGTATTATATATGGTATACCTTTGTGTTATACCTGTCTGAGATCAATCTATGAACGGCAGGGAATTTTTATCTTGTTCTGATCAAGATTGGTTTTAATTTCTGCAGAGTGTGGAGCTGACAAATGAAGCAGTTGATTTTTTGAAGGCGATCTTTGATTTATTTGATAGTGATGGTGTATGTTATTTGCACAAATGACCTTGAATATTTACACTTTATCATGCTGTTCTTTCATGACTAGGTCATGGGTTTAAATCCAGGAAACAGTCTCTTTGTAATTATGCAAGGGTAAGGCTGCGTACAAGGATTACCTCCCCCACACTCGCTAGTATGGTTTAACGGGGAGTGATTTTTATCATGCTGCCCATTCTGTTATTTTCTAATATTTCTCAAACGACTTCATTGTGATTTCAGTAACAAATGAAAA